TGAAATTTTATATCACCCAGGAAAAGCTAATATTGTAGCTGATGCTCTGAGTCGTAACGAGAAAAGTGGAACTATTAAAGCGATAGCAATGAAGATAAGCTTGAACTCAGATTTGCGTAAGAAAATACAAGAGTGTCAGGCAGAAGCTATTAGAGAAGAGAATAAGAAGTCGGAGCAAGTGGGTAAGACAATTTCCAACATGGAACCAAATGAAGAAGGGATATTGTGTTTCCAAGGACGGATATGGGTACCAAAATATGGGAATTTACGAGAAATCATTCTAAATGAAAGCCACAAGTCTCGTTATTCCATTCATCCAGGTACCAACAAGATGTATAAGGATATAAAAGCACTTTATTGGTGGCCGGATCTCAAGAAAGATATTGCAAGATATGTAGAGCAATGCTTGACTTGTTTACAAGTTAAAATAGAACATCAGAGACCCTATGGGAAACTACAATCGTTGGAAATACCGATGTGGAAGTGGGATCATATTACAATGGACTTTATCATGAAACTACCCCGAACTCCAAAAGCTTATGATGCAATATGGGTAATAGTAGACCGTCTGTCAAAGTCTGCACATTTTCTACTGATAAAAGAAAATTATTCGTTAGAAAAGCTAGCACAGATTTATATTAAAGATATTGTTACTAGACATGGTGTTCCCTTGTCTATTATCTCTGACAGAGATAGTCGGTTTACTTCAAAATTCTTGGGAGGACTACAGAAAGCATTGGGGTCGGAAATTCGTCTAAGTACAGCTTATCACCCACAAACTGATGGACAAAGTGAAAGAACTATTCAAACTCTAGAAGATATGTTAGGAAGTTGTATTATCGACTTCAGAGGATCATGGGAAGATCATTTACCACTAATAGAGTTTGCATATAATAACAGTTATCATTCCAGTATTCAGGCAGCGCCATATGAGGTATTGTACGGACATAAATGGAGGACGCCATTATGTTGGAATGAAGTGGGTGAGAAACAGTTGACTGGTCCTGAAATTGTTCAAGAGACTTCCGAAAAGATTGAACAAATCCGTGAAAGAATTAAGACAACACAGGATCGCCAGAAAAGCTATGCTGATAATCGTCGGAAATCCATAGAGTTTGATGTAGGCGATTTTGTTATGTTAAAAGTTTCGTCATGGAAAGGTGTTATTAGATTCGGGAAGAAAGGAAAGCTCAATCCAAGGTATGTTGGGCCATTCAGAATTTGTAAACGAATCGGGCCAGTAGCATATCAGTTAGAGCTACCAGAAGAACTAAACCGGATCCATAACACTTTCCATGTTTCGAATCTGCGGAAATGTTTGGCTAATCCGAATTTAACTGTACCGTTGCCAGAAATTTAGTTAGACAGCAAATTGAACTTTGTAGAAACACCAGAAGCCGTGGTAGACAGAAAAATCAAGGTGTTGCGAAACAAAGAGATAAGTCTGGTTAAAGTACAGTGGAAATTTCATAAAGGACCAGAGGCAACTTGGGAATTAGAGTCAAATATGAGATCAGAGTACCCGTGGCTTTTTGACTAAAGGAATTCTGGGACGGAATTCTTTTGAGGGGAGGATAATGTGATAACCAGATCTTGGTTATTACCCAAGGTAATTTATACGTGAATATTTGACTAAATGATTACATGATAGCATGATAATTTGCTGTGAACGGGTATATGCATTTATGCATTATCAAAATATGAATATACATATATATATATATATATATTGATATATATATATATATATATGGGTATGTGTGTGTATTCATGATATGTGTATATGTGTGTAAGAGTTGTGCATGCATGTATAAGGTGTGTGCATGTGTGCATGTATAATCCCATGCAAGAGGTGGCAAAATTAAGGGGGAGGTGGTTAGCCGACCTTCCCCATTTGGTGGGTATAAAAGGGGATTACTTCTCCTTTCATTTGTTTTGCTTGCCATTTTGAGAATTGAGAGGGATTTAGAGAAAAGTTGTCCGGATTGCATATTAGAGGAAGAATTCAAGTTGAATTCAAGAGTTGGATTTCAAAGGTTGATTGCAAGTATTTTGGTGTCAAAAGCTTTATAAAGGTGAGTGGTTCTAAATCTTTTACATAAAAAGCTTTTACTAGTTTTGAATCCTTATTTTGTATTATTTGTTTCTTTTAAAAAGAAACCTTGCAAATATTTGTCTAAGTGTTTATCCGGATAAAGCTTGACTGGATAAAGATGTAAACCGGACAAGCCTTGTACGGGGTATTGTCCGGATAAGTCTAAACCGGACAAGCCTTGAGAGGCTTAGTGTCCGGATAAGTATAAACCACACAAGTCTTAAGCGGTTTAGTGAACGGATTAGTATACCGGACAAACCTCGAGCGGTTTTGTTGACCGGAGTTGTTAACCGGTTGAGTTATGAGCGGTTTAATTATAATGAAATAACTTAGTGATCGGTTTATTGTTAAACCGGACAAGGTATGAGCGGACTAGTGTCCGGATTTGTTAACCGGACAATCTTGAGATTGTTTTAAGTGATTAATCGGTTTAACAAGTATGTGGTATGTTGACCGGATTAGATATCCGAATAAAAGTTGAATGTTATTGTTGACCGGATTT